TGAAAATGAGTAAAATTTTTGTTCGGAACATATGTTAGTGTTGAATTAGAGCCATTTTTAAGCTAAAGGAATTTTATGTAAATTTGTCAAAATTTTAACACATTTAAGTTTTTTTTTGTTTAGAACTTCCGTCTATATACAGGGTGGCGCAAAAAGAACGATATGGTTTGAATTCTTGATAACTTTTTTATTTAAATGAAAATATTAATTTTTTTTTGGTAAATACAAATATACAAATGGCAATTTTTTTCGGTTTAAATATAAAAAATTATACCCGGCAAGTGGTAGCCATTAGCTGCTTCGCAAATTCGTGCTCTTTCCAGCACATTTTCCATCACTTTTCGCAAAATATCAGGCGTAATGGCTCTGATCTCGTCCCGAATATTGTTTTTTAGCTCGTTTATGGTCTGTGGCTAATTTACGCCTTTTCTTTTAAATAATCCAAAAGAAAACAGTCTGGTGCTGTTAAATCTGGTGAACGCGGAGGCCAACTAAAAAGACTTCTGCGCGAAATAATGCGATCACCAGAAATGTCCCGTAAAATAGCCATTGTTTCCCTTGCAATATGAGCAGTGGCTCCATCTTGCTGAAATCACAACTGTGGATGATTTTACACTGCTGGCCTCAAAAAGTTTTCCAGCGTAGTTCTATAGAGAGCGCCTTTAACGGTAACGGCGTCGCCATGTCCATCTGCAAAGAAATATGGGACAATTATCCTTTCGGACGATATACCGCACCAAACAGTACATTTAAGTGGGTGTAATTGGCGCTGATGTACTGCTCGTGGGCTCTCCGTCGCCCATATTCTGCAGTTTTGCTTATAAACAAAACCATTTAATTGTAAGTGAGCTTCATCGCTCATTATCAAATTGTGTATGAAATTTGGATTTTCTTCTGCTTTTTGTTGGAAAGAAATGGCATAATCAAGCCTTTGTTGATAGTCTATCGGCTTCAACTCTTAGCTGAATTTTATATGGGAACATGCGTATTGAGACCAAAATTCTCTGAAGGGATCTTCGTGATAGTCCCAGCTGTGTCGAACGTCTCCTTGTACGTTTCTTACTGATGCATTTTCTTCAAAATGTCTTACCAGGCGGTTTATTATTGCTGCAGAGGGCAGATTCCGCACATTGAAATATCACCGATATGCTCGCCGAGTTAAAGTAACTGACCTGTGATTTTGATAGCAAAATTCTATGATTTTTGTTCGCTGCAGCGTTGTGTACTGCTCCATTAAAAATTTTCCAAGCCTTGTTTACAAGATTCTGAAATAAAAAAAGAAAAAAATTAATAAATAAAAAAGTTATCAAGAATTCAAAACATATCGTTCTTTTTGCGCCACCCTGATGTACATATATATACCAAAAAGAGGAAATTTACTAGCACAAATAAAAAAAACTAAAAGACTATCAACATACCGACCACCAGACGCTGAAAAAGTTGGAAGAATACTAAAAAAAACGATAAGAAAGGAAAAATAAATAAATACGTTTTTTATTCTTAACTTCCGTATATATATTATGTCGATAAAATTCTATTATGTAAAGTTTGCGCAAAATTTCATACATTTTTTTACTACACAAAAGACCTTTTCATAAACACAGTATATCGCGATATATGGCGAGAACTGCGCTATATTTGTGTTCATAAACAAATGTTGCTAATCAAGTTTGTTCATAAAATTTGCTAATTTATCATTTCGTCTATTTTACAAAAAATATTTAAATTACCATGGCTAGCGCAGTTAAATCTTTAATCAGGAAAGTAGGAAGAATACTAGAAAAAGTGAAAGAAAAAATAAATAAAGGCGAACGTGAAAAAAGAATATTACTATAGGTTTAAATAAATAGCAAAATTCTATGTGTTAATTTTTGACCGATCAACTTTGACCTATTAGACAGGTTAGATTTCTTTTGAACAGATTCAATACGATAGCTTCTGACCCAATTACCTTATCAAGCTTGGAGTGTATTGTGAAGTGCGGAACACAGAACAAAACCAAAAGCATCGTTAGTCGCGAGTATAAAAAGAATGGGACCCAAATCTAATAAAAAGAATAAAAAGAATGAAAATTCTTTTATTTCTTTTTTTAAAAAGAATAAAAATTCAATAAAAAGAATGGGACTGCGGATCGCCGGACACAGTAGACATCAAACAGAGTCGAACGGAGGGAAACTTGATATGATCTACATGTAAAATAGAAATAGGTCCATATTAAATTACAAAAATAAAAACCTATACTAACCAAATGACATCGATTTGGCCACCCTCTCCTATAGTCTTAATAGTATCAGAGACAAACCTTATAAAGAACATATGCCCTTCGTTTGTACTGGTAACATACGATTTTCTTCCAAGCCGAAGGAAAAACGGTAGACACTAGTGCATGAATATACACTAAAAAGTGTTCAATATATTTTATATTAACAAGAACACTATCTTCATGTTGTTCTAGATCGTTGCACGACATAAAAAGCTTTATGTTATAGTTCTTGTTTTTTTTTTCTTTTTCTTTCGATATTAATTGTCGTTTGCACATATCAAGTAAAATAGAATAAAGCTTTCTCCAATTTAACGTATGTTTGTTGTGCACTGTAAAACTGTACACGATATTCAAATAACTGTACACTACAAGTGTTTGTTATTGTATATATTCAGTGATCGACATGCCAAAAAAGAAAAGCAAAATAAGAAGTTGAAAAACATAAAACAAAAAGCAAAAGGAAAAAGAAGTCAAGGACCAACAGCAAACCATAATTTATGGTTTGCTGTAAATAATTTGTATGTTTTTCCTCAAGTTATTTTCCATTGCAATTATTTTTTAGCATGGAAAAAACCATTGAAGAAGTTCATATGTCCTTTTTGTTTACTTAAAAGTTTTTATTTTCATGTATTATAAGAGAAATGAACAATTAAAGGCATTTAATTGATTCGTTTTAGGTTCTTAACTGAAACCTCTAATTGAAATCTTAAAATTAATATTTTGCTTAATTGTTGTTGGTCTTTAATAATTAAAAATTATATTTCTGTAGATTTATTGGTAAATGATAATAGTTATATATATACAAATGTAACCTATACCAACAAATCACAATATTAAACATGCTACGATTTTCTTGGATATAAACAAGTTTTCAGTAAACATTTGTAATAAAAGGAAAATATGTCCGTCTACCAAAATAGGAGCATAAGATCTACAGTCAATTTGACGTTCTTAATTTTGGTGAAATCTTAATTTTTAATGAAAGTTAGAATGTACTGAATTTATTTTGTACCATTAAATGAAAAGCAAGCGAAATTGACGCACCCTCGAAATTTGCCTTATCGTTTGTAATGCTAAGAAATAATGGTTTTAGATATAGACTCAAGTGTATGTTTTTGATCAGCTTTGTCTGTCCGTCCGTCTCAACGATAACTCAAAAACTAATTGAGTTAAATTCACCCAATTTTCACAAATGATTTATTATAGTAAACGAAATATTTGCAAGCCTTGCAAATATTATTTCTGTAGTTTTAAAATTGTGCTCCATTCTGTGTCTGAGATATTTTAAGTTTATTTTCTTTCTTTAAAATAAACCCGTAATATACATATGAATATGTTTTTTTCCTAATATTTTAACATAAAACTTAAAATAAGAAATGCTCTTAAAAATAATTACGAAAAAGTACATAATTAAACAAATAATTAGTTCCTTTTAGATCTAATATCTTTTGAGTAATTTATTTTAGAACCTCGCGTTAAGTTGTGTCGCACAAAATCGTAAATTACTTTTGGCAATAAGCACTTTAAGCGATCAATTACTGTATACGCATAAAATAACTCGCTACCAAAATGCATGCACGTATGTATAACACTAATAATGCGTAACGCTAATACTATATAGGGTAATGCGTCAGGGTAACCCTGAAAAATGCGATTTGCCAGATGATTTTTTTTATTGATAATTATATTTTAAAATGAAAATAAAAAAGCTTTATCCTTACAAATCAATATCAGCGAGTTTCCGTTCTAAATATTTTTTTGAAAATACCCTATTTGTAAAAAGTTTAATGCAATAGAATAACATTTTCTTATAAAATTTTGCCCTAAAAATATATTGTCAAGAAATTTAATGTACACTTATGTTTTGCTTACTAATACATTTTGCAGCAGATCGGGAAAAGAATACATAACTAAATGCGTACGTACATACTTATAAAACAATGTAGATTTCATTAACTCTTTAGAATTTTCTTAAGAAAGTGTTCACTTATTGTTATAACTCACACATATGAATTTCCAAATATGAATTTACATACAATATTTATACCTCCAAACGTAAATAAAAAATTACCCCAACAGTATGTAGTATCATTTTGTAAAAAGCGGACTCAAGCATCTTGCGGGGCGGTGAAGGGGAAGAGTGGGGAGAATGAATGCTTTTTCTGGGACCCTAGGACAAAACCATATCTAATGCCTTTTGTCCCTTGTCTCAGATAAGCAGATTAATATTATTATAAAAGTTTAAAGAAAATTTCCAAAAAAATATTGTTATAATAGTTTGGAAACATTCGCAAAAATTTTAAGTGTATAAATGTGTATGTAAGTTAAGAAATTATAGTTCAATTTCTTATAAAAAAACATTTTTCTGGACTGATGTTCGTTTTATTGATTTAATGTGTTTAATTATAATGAATAAAACTTAACTGAACTTAATTACTATTTTTGAACATATTTATAGCATATAATTGATTGTTAAGCAAAATATTACAATTATAAAGTTAAGGCTAAATTATAAAGTTAAAAATGCTTGTTAGGTATTTATTGTGGAAATTATAAAAATAAATTTTTCACAGGTAAATTATTTAACAATATTCTTATGAAAATTATGCTGAACTCAGTGTCTGATGTTATGCGCGTGTATCATATATTTGTATATGGCAATATACAAATTAATTTCAGTAATATGGCAATGATAATTAAGGTGCATATGGCATTGAATGTTATGTTAACTGCCGAAGTTGTAGTGAGCTCGCTCAGTTGTTTGACATTACCTAAGTGCAAATTGTGCAGATAATATAGGTTGAGTTTCATTTTTCCTGGGGATTTCTTGTCGCTCATTATTGATGGCAAAATGATTTGAGACGATTGAAATTCTTTGTTGGTATAGGTCTCGTTTTTTATTTGAATTGTTTCATTATAAAATTCTATGACGAAGTTAGCGTTAAGGTTTTTTGTTGTGTTGTTGGCTTTGACTGTTCCACTGAAATTATTGAGGAATATTGTATTTTCATTATTTCGACCGATTCCCTTCTGTTGAACTCGTACTCACAAGTATTGTTGCAGTTTCTCAGAATTTGTGTGATGCAGTGGTCATCAGGTAATTCTTGTATTTGATCCATTTTGTTGATGAAGGTGTTTTTATACTTGTTACATTCGTTGCTAATGCCAAAAATTTGTTTGAGGTTCGTTAGTAGACTTTTGTATGTTAGATGCAACTGCTTATTATTTTTAGTGGTGGCTCTGATTTTAATATAGTTATATTCGACACCGCTGGTTTTGGGTAGTGATAATATGTAGAGTACAGTCATGTCTTGGACTACTACTGTTGGTGTAGCGTACTCGATTGCATCAATAACATTGAAATACGGTAATGTTTGCATTTCAGAAATCAATTGGTTGATTTCCTCTTTATTTAATAAGTTGGTGTTCACTATTTTTCCTTTGGCTAATTGGACTGCTCTTACGATTTCTTTTATTTCTTCCTTTATCATATTAATTTGGTTGAAAAGCGTTTGGTAATTAGCTTCTTTTGAATTTTCATCGAACCTTTGAATAATTCTATTATATTGCATCAGAATATGTTTTGTTGTATTTGTTAGAACTTGATTGATATGATATTGCTCATTATCGTTCCATATCAAATTGTTATGGCTTCTAAGTATTTCATCCGAATAGGTTGCATGAGAATAGGCGCTGAAAATCCAATTTTTTTATCATTTCCTTATAGCGGAGTGTTCCGTGAGTTCTTTAACCAAATCTTCGGTTTGTTGAATTTGGAAGGTGAGTTGCGTTTTAGTAAACTTGTTGGAATTCAACTGATTTGCTTCCACTTTTGATCTTTGTAGTACGTCTTCGTAACTGGTGAAGTCGATCCAATGAACTAATTTTGGATTTTCATTTAATATTCGTCCCACGCCTTCCTTTATAGCCATGATGGGTGACTTGAACTCGTATATTTGAAAGACTGTTGATACCCTAAATAATAGGCTGAAAAGAGAAAAATGTTTTGTTAGTTGGGGGAATTCTTTTTGTGCGCCTTATGAATTCTTCTTCCGTTTTCGGTTGTGACTGTAACATTGTTATTTCTAGCTATTATTTCTGTTTTATAAAGGGGTTTGTTCTTGCTCTTTATTTATTTTTATTTTATTTATTTATTTATTATTAGTATCAATTTGCAAATATCTTAAGATTAATACAATACAACTATTTATTTTATAACTATGTATGCAAATTGATGATAAACTATACAGTAGTGTAAATCAACACTAACGATGTATAGTATTATGCACCGATGCTACCACATATTACTTAGTATTAATACAAATTTTGTGGGGTGGGTATATTTCTGGTTACTCAAAATTACATTTACATTTATTTACTTAAAATAAATTTTAATTGTTTTTTTTTTTTTTTTCTTTGAAATTAATTAATTTACTATTTTAAAGTTTTCTAATTGTGCAAGTACAAAAAGGGTAAACCGAGCAACATATATAATCTAGTATTATTTTAGACACCTTATTTTTATAAAATTCTTTATAACTACAATTGAAATATTTTTTTGTTATGTAATCTTTGAAAATTTCGATACCTTTCTTATTATCAATTCTTGAAATATGCATGTCAATAACGAACTTTGGTATTTGTAACATAGAGGGATTTATCTTATCATAAATGCCTGACCAAATTACCCATTTCAAGTGATTTATTTCATTTATAGTAAAGTCTTCTTTATAGTTAAAAGAAACTGCATTATAGCTTTTATTCACGAAACACTGTGACGGAACATCTACCGATTTTAGCATAGTTAATTGTAAATCATCTGCATTCATAAGTAGATTTAACAATTCGCAGCACGATTTTATACGGAAGAGAGAGGTACAAAAAACTAGTATTTTTTCAGGATCCATATCAGGGCGTACATTTACTACAGATCTACCATGAATATATATTGACTTTATGTAATTGTTTTTCGACAACGAAAATAGCTTTTCCAGGCTCATATGATTTAGTTTGTTTCCTTTTATTCTTTTCTCTATTTATTTTGTCTTTTTGGGTTTTACAAATTCTTTCAGTAAGATCTTCATAAACCTTGTCTTGAAAGTTTGTTAGGTTCTGGTAATTGATTCGTTGTGTTCTTCCATAAAAAATGTCTGATGGCTAGCCATTTCTTAATAAGGCTAGCCATTTGCGGAAAATAGTGTTTCTACATTATTCGTCCCTTATTTTCCTTCCAGTTCCTGTGTGCTCGTTTATGATCATGGCTGATGATTTGGTACTTATTTTCCTCATAGTTGGCATTTTGCACGATTCGTTGTGTTATGCGAATTTTGTATCCTTGGAGATGGTTTTTTTATAAGTCCTGCAGCAACTGAATTCAATTTTCGGGTATTTTAATACCATTGAGGATTGATAGCGATAGTGTTCTCTTTAATGCTTCTAATAGATTTGTGTTGGTGATATCCTGAAGACCAATATAATGTCGGTGGTAATTTGGATGAGGGTTTTCGTAGGCAGAAGGTATTGGTCCTTGTGAAACGATGATCTGATTTTTGAACACGTTAAGTGGAGCTTCGCAATGTGGTATTAAGTCGCTGCTCTCCTCTTCTGCGCTGTGCACTGCGCTTATTATTAACTCGTAGTTGTATTCCTCTATTCATGATTTTCATCTCTTAAGCTTGGCGTTGTTATTTCTGTTGTCTAGACTGAACGATAGAGGTTACTGGTCCGTTAAAATCTTTACTTTCTTTGCACCATAGAGATAACACCTGAACTTGTCCAGAGCCCAGACTATTGTTAATAATTCACGCTCGTAGGTTGCGTATTCTTCTTCTGTTTTGTTGAGTGTTGAGTGGTCGTGATGCGTATGATATTGAACGACCCTTGCCTATGTCGCCCTGCGACAACACTGAGGCTATGTTCGAAGTGTCGGTCGTAAGAATAAAAGGTTGTTAAAAAACGGGGACTACTAATAACTCTGTTGATGATAAGGCCTGTTTCAGCTCTTTGAATGCTCTGAGTTCCTCTTCATTGAATGTGATTGCTATTTTCCTTGATTGATTGGCCTTTACTTGGGCATTTTTACCTCGGTTAAGGTTGGTAAGTGGTTTAGCTAATTGTGAGAAATCCCTGATAAACTTCCTGTAATATGATGCCAACCCTAGGAAACCTTTCAGTTCTTTCAAATTTTCTGGTATCTTCATTTTTTGTATTGCTGTGATTTTCTCGGGATCTTTCATCAGTGTTTGAAATTTTTCGTTAAATGAGATCTCATTCATAGTTTTTTAAAACGTCTCATAAAGAGAAATACTTTATCATAAAAATATGGATTTCACCGGCAAAATAAAAAACAGAAAACACATCATGTGATACAACTCCTCATTTCAAGTAAATGTATTTTGTCATATAGACTTCTTACACAAACAAAATATAAACGAAAAAAAAAAGAAATAATCTGCGAAATTTTTGCAGCGTTTTTTTTGTTTTCTTTACATAATCTTTTAAATTATTTTAAAGCGATAAAGCGTTCTCTCATTAGTATAAAAAAGAAGAAAATAAAAAGAGTTCTGTTTTGCAGCATCGTTTTAATTCGCTTATAAATTTCGCTGTAGAAGTTAAAATGTATAAGAAATATTTTTTAGTATTAAAAAATATAAGTCGATTTCTCCTTTTTCGTTATTTGATCTAGTGAACGTAAAGCTGTGTTTTTTTAGAGTATATTTTAGTGGACAAAATCAATATTTTTACAATATAATATTTCTCTTTATGAGATGTATTTAAAAAATGTAAATGAGATCTCATTTTATAAACTAAGAATTTCACAATCTGATGAAAACTGTTAGTTTATTAAAAAATAGGTATCTATATTATAAAAATAATGAATATTGGATATTTAAGCTGTAAGTTGTATTGAAAAACTAAGTTTTAAGCTGTATTAAAATTAATTAAATAATAAGTGTTAAATATGGTATTTTAGTAAATAGAACATAGAACTTATGGATTTTATGTTTTGTTTTGTATTTTTTCTTTTTTTTTAAATAAAAAATATGAGTACTCAAAAATATTTATTTTTTTTAAGAAATAAAAATTAAATATATTGTTTGAAAATGTTTTTACTTTCAAAAAAAAAAAAAAAAATAGGAAACAAAAAAATTTTTAAATATTAATTTTTAAAAAATAAAAAAAATTATTTTGTTTTGTACATATGTATATTATATACGTATTAGTAATAAAAAGTTAAAACCTTTTTTAAATTGAAAATTTTAACTCAAAAAGTAAACAAAAAATTAAAAAAACCTTTCTAATAAACAAATATAAACCTACACTGAAAAGAATCCAACAAAATAAAAAAAAACCTTTACTCACAAAGCTATTAAAATCAATAACACAAATGAAAACCTTCAACTCAATAAAAAATTACAATCGCTTTCACGATATACATAAAATGTCTCATAAACGTCTCATAAAATAACGGATTATACTTTACTGATTGACTTTCTGATTCTCTTTCTTTTGGATTTTATTAAAAATTTTTGCAATGGTATCACGCCAATTGAATAAAACATTAAAATCTCTTATAATTTCGTCTCAAAATAATAAATACTATTGAAAACAAAAATAAGAATAAACTTCGGTAATTAGACTATTTCAAGATAAAAAAATATAAGAAATTTTTAAGGTGATCCATTCTTGTTTCAATGTTGTCTGGCCTCTTAACGGTATCGTAATGTTCGGATATATTTTCAACGTGTTTTCTTTGCAATCGATGATTGCTTCCAGTTGTTTCGGGGTATCGTCGCCGATGATCCCATCGAATGATTTCAGTCCTGGTAGCAGGAAGGAGTCTGATTTCGTGTTGTTGCCGTGTGGTTTGAAGAGTCTTGCGTTAACTTTTTGTGTGATAGTAATACGAGTATGACCTCCAGCTGAGCGTACAGTTAATGAGCGTACTGTGAGCCTTGGTTTCTTTGCGTGTTCTAGTTTTATAAAGTTTTTGTTTGCCCCAGTGTCTACAAGAAACTTGAGCATTTTGTTGTCGGCTGCGTTGTATTTTATGTATGGAATGCTCGAGAGGCTGGGAGTATAAAATTTAATTCGTCTTCTTCTTCGCATTCCGATTCCTCTGATTCGTGCTCGTACTTGGCGCTTAGTTGCTCTTCATACTGTGCCGCATCTTCAGAAGTTTCTTAATTATAAAATCTCTGCTGCTTACGATTCATGTAACTTGTGTCGCTTGGTTATTTGAAATTTTTACTAGACAGGTTTGAATAGTCCACCTGTGAGTTCAACTTCCATCAGGACATGACCATTGCATTGATTCTAGCTACCACTCTATTGCTTGAGCCCTTACTGTTTATCGGTATACTACGTACGCTGGCATTTTGGATTTTGAAGCATGAAGAATACGCTTCTGGTAAGGATTGATGTTGCTGAATGATGAGCATTCTTGATAAATCTCGGTTTAGCCCTCTTATGAACACATCTAGGGCAGTGTTCTGATATGTTTCACTTAGTGCTTGTAATGTGTCGATACTGTAATTTTCGGTTTTTATTTTGTTGATTATCAAGGACAGTTGATAATTTACGTTGGCGTAGAATTCGTCAATTGTGAGGTTCTTCTGAGTTAGATTAGATAGTTGGTGTACAAGTGTCCTGACATCTCGTTATCAGCATAATGAAGGGACAAACATGCCTTTATTTCGTCCCAGCTGTTGTCAAAAATATTGTGTGATATTAAAGCACCTTTCGCATTGCTTCAGATTTTCTCGCGAATGTTCTGTAATATTGCTCTACATATTGGTTTGTGTTTTACGATTGCTTAATCTGCCAGTATGCTTTCGACGCTATGAACCCATGGTACGTACTGCGTCCGGTTTCCATCGAATACTTGCAGCTCCTTTACCTCATTTGCAAATATCTTTTAAGTCCAGCTCTGTCTTTGGGCCTACTGGTCCTGACGAGAAAGGTTGTTGCGTTGGTCTTCTTGTATT